TCCGGAGAATCCGCTCCTGCGACTGGGTGATGCTATCATTCCGTGGCGCAAGGCTGTCCTGCCCAGAGGGCACCACCTGAGGTGCCGGGAAGGCGAAACGGAACAGCCAAGCCGCAGTGTCCCAGGGAATGGAGTTTCAGACCCCCTATCATCGACCCTTTTGAGCAACTTGATCCTGGGGAAGACCTATGTTAAAAAGGATATAAGAGCGATGGCATGCAACCTAATAGCGAGGGCCTCCATCCTACTAGCTAACTATAACATATATATATACTCATATAACTACTTATATATATATATATATTGGGTCTATCCTATTTCCTGTAACAGTGGATGTTGATGGTTAGTAGAGGCCTTGTCCAAAAATAGTGATAATTGGTTGCTGACTGTTGCAGGTATTTAATAGGACAGACCCAATATATATATATATATATATACAGCTTCTACAACCCAGTGGAAGTCCACCTATCCCGCAAATGCAAGCTCGTGAACCCACTTATGGGATGCGCACATGTTCTGCCTGGGGTGTGATGCCGGAATTTGGGGCGGTCACTGCGGGAACAATGAGGCTCAACGGCTGGCCTGGAAGAGACTCAAAGTGGAAACACTGCTGACGCGATGGATGTTCATCTTTGGTCTGAGTGAGGCAAGCTGAATGGCCTGCTGAGTTTGCTTTGAGCAGTGCTTTGATGGTTGGACCTGTCACTGCAACATTGGGCCCCTATGGATCCACATACCCTCTGAAAAGGTATGTGCATCCCTAATGGGGTTGAATTTCTCTCAAGTGAGGGACACCCCCAACGCCGACCGATCTTTACGGTGCGTGCGAGTGACGAAGACTTCTCAAAACGGCTCACCAAGTGGGGAACAAGTGCTGACATATAGATGCTGACTCGGGTAACATGAACAGCCAATTGGCTGACACAACAAACTCGTGTTCTACTCTACAAATCGTTATTTTCAGCTGAAGCAAACATATATATAGAGCACTTGCGCGCAATGGCACGAAAAAAGAAAAAAAAACAACGATCTCAAAGCAAATCCTCATCTTGCATACTCATCTGACCAATCCTATCTTGGACAAAACAATAGTATTCACACAGAACATAGACTTCTCAATAGGACTTCCAAGGGCCACCCAAGGGATTTGGACCAGTCTAGGCCCCTCTTACCACCAACTAGCACTGGTAGATGAAGGGGTTCTGCTTTGCAGCTAGGCTAGGCTTGCCAGCACCCTGATTTTCTTGGCTCAGGCGTAGGGGAATGGTCACTGACTGACCACTGTTGATGGAAGAACACGATTTGCGTTGTGATGGAAACTCTTTCCTTCAGCAACCTCCGACCATCTCAAAAACAAAGCGCCCCTCCACCATGGTCGTTCTGTACCTGCCATCAACCAGTCCAAGAAAGTCTTCCTCTAACAACCTCCCACCACGTGGCCGTGATCACCCAGTCACAATGGTTTCTTTATTCCTGAGGTACTCCCATGAGTGGCATGGTTCCGCTGGCAAAGGAGGCACTGGTGACGGGTATTTGCGGCTCGAGGAGGCCGCTGCCCAGGCCTCAGCTTTGCATCTGGACAAGGTCCGTTGATCGACAGGCACATCTTCTGCGAGCGTCTGGGGGGGAATAGAAGTCTCGATCCGTTGATCTGGCCGGTTGAGGAAAGAATGAGGCAAGATCCGACGTTCTGGCGTCTCAGGCTGGATGTTAAATGTTGTTAGCTTGAGGACCGGACGTTGGAATTGCAAACACTGGACTGGGTTAGTTCTAAGGTCTTCGAAGAACCTCATGTTCATGATATGGATCGGACTCGACGTCTCTGCAAGGCTGGACACCGCTGGACACGTGTTTGACTGATTGAACCCGCTGGGCGACCCGCTGGGCGGCTTCGCCCCGATCAACTGGGCTCCCAACACTTCAGGGGAGACATCGGTGACCTCTCCGGGGACGGCAAGCGGCTCGCCTCCTGCGCCATTCGAAACTCAACGGAAACTGCGTCCGAGAGGAAGCCATGAATCTCCATGACCATGTCCATTCGTCCATAGATCTCATTGGATCTCCATAGAACACATCGTCTTAGAACACATTTGAAAGCAGCCAACATGCAAGACGTTGTTCCGAAGAAAACTCGAGCTCTTCCTGGGAAAAAGCTGTCTCCAAGACCTTCCCTGCAGTTCTCTCCGCTTACAATGGAGCGATCTCGCACTCAGCGATTTTTCGTCATGACATGATATGAACATTATAATTGGAAAGGATGATGGTGAACAAAGGCCGAAAACAAAAACAAAACACATAAGAACACCTGATCGAGGACTCTCTCAATGAGTCTGAATATGTCTTAAGTCTTAAGTGATGTGAGGAGTCCCTGATGGTGAGCAGGTCTTTCGGATTCTTGAAGCCTCCGCCTACCTACCCACCCCCATTGCACCTCCCCACTCACAACCACTGGTCCCTGCGACGGATGATGCCATGCTCCCGTGCTGTCCCGATCACCGAGCTCGTGCTTCAGCACCTCAATCTCCATGCGCAGTGCAGACACAAGGTCCTGGAAAAGATCCCAAAATCAGCGGCTGGGCCCAGATCACAGCCAGATTGATCAGAAAGCAACCTAAACCAGGGAGAGGTATACAACTGTATTAGTGTTGCATAATTAGGTGGTGTCTTTAGTGACACTGTCATATGTGCCACGATTGTGCCACTCATGAGACTCCTGTCGTGCAGCACCTTCCAAATTCGATCGAGCCATGTGCTGCCGAATCAAAATGCCAGTCATCACTTCGAGTGCTCGAAATGGACCGATCTACATCCTGTACCCTGTACCCGTATGTAGGCAAATGCGGATGTTCCAAGTGTACGATCTACAAATAGCATCTCTGCTCTCTCAAACAGCATCAAAACACAATCTCTCGACATTTACGTCCAAGTTTTCAAGTCCAGGACTTCTCCATTCCCAGTTTCACGACACTTCTCCTGGTGCCGCTTCAGCATTGCCTGAAAGATCGTCACCTGCGTGTTCAAAAGGTTCGAACGCGATGACGTCTTCGATCGCGCCAGGAAAAGGTTCGATCGCGCGATGACGGAGATGGTACTGCCGGGCCCCGCACCCTGTTGCAACACCACGTTGGAGTGACCCAATTGCAATAAACATTTGGGAAACCGTTCCATGCGTAGCCTTTTGGGATCATATATGATTCAATTTGGGTGCGTGCGTTGCAGGGTTCTCAGGGATTGATGAACATCTAACATCCCTCTTAACAAAAGGAACACTGCATGGACCATGGTTGTCAACTCGACTCAGACTTTTCCAAACGGTGGCTTTGTTTATGCGTTTTTCATCCGCGATATACCCGGTTGTACTGAGACCTAGGGTCTGTGTCCCATGGGTCTGTATCCGATTTGATTGGCCCACTTACGACCCCCTCTCCGTACATAGTGGCTTTGTGAGATGTGTCTACCCCGAAGCTGCCCAATTCCTGGGCGGTGTCTACCCGTCATTGCAGTGTGTCCGTCGTCATCCGGGGGCTTCTGAGTCAGGCTTCAGCCGAGAGTCGGATTTGCTTCTGCAGTTCTCAGGGATCGGTAATCGTAAGATATGGTTTGAAAAGAAGACTAAAGTCACCCCAAGGATCCCCAATCCGGACAGACACGATGTCCAATTACTCTAAGGGATTTTGATTGATCATCTTGTGGGGTTGCTGTGATACCTGAGAATCTGCATCACAACAGCCTCGCCCCTTCCAATCGCCTGTTGCCCCACCAACTTGGAGAACTCTGCATCCGTGATGGACTCCAAGTCCAAGCCGCCGCTGACCACGCGCTCCATGGCGCGCGCGGACCGTGCGGCGTGGGGTTGAGCGGGTGCGACCGGGAGCGGCCGGAGGAGCGGGGCGGGTGAGGTGGGTGTGCGTCACCTGTGTCAGGGTTTTGAGCGTAGAACGCCTTTCAGAATGTCAAACAATGATGTAGAGTCTTGTTGATCTTGATTGTTTTGACGTTTGAGCCTTGTTTGGATCAGCTTTTACTGGGGTGTGAGCTACAGTCAAATATATAGGTTTCTGCTGGTTTCTGATTCTTTTGCATCAATGAATCAATGACATACTTTAGGACCAGAAGAGTCTGGGGAGAGCCACTTGATTTGCTCCCCCAGGATGACATGGTACCCGGTCACTTCAGCATGTATCTCTGGTGAAAATGCCCAGCTGCAAGCCAAAGACCTGCATGTCCATGGCCCCACAGCACTTGCATAGGCTCCAAAGTGAATGTCCGGGCTTTGGATCCCACGTAGATCCAAGGCAAGTGGATCCATCCAAAGGGATTGTTTCCAAAAAGCACCCCGGATATAAAGGGTTAAACATGGTTAAACACAAACAGCAATCTGTAGGCTTGAAAATTGAGATTTGTGACTTTGTAACAATATGTAACAATGTTCACCCAGTGACAGGAAACTTCCAAGTCCTTTTTGGCACAGCTGTTGATGTTGTCATTGTCATCATTGTTTGTACTTGTTGGGGTGGGAGTCAAAACTCCGCCTAACCATGGGCTTGTTTAACCTGCTTCTTCACCGCTTGTTGAACATCGCTTGGGTCGATCAATCTGATCATCAATAGGAGAGGTGTGAGCGGTACGGGGAGATACGTGTCACCTTTAAAAGTCACACATCAAAGCTGCGACTTTCAAGGTTTGCCTCCCCGGAACTCCACACTATCGACCCCGCCACGTCGGCCAGTTGGGAAGATCTTGAACCTTTTTCGAGCAAGTCTACCTGTTGATTTGAGTAGGACCAAAGTGAATCTCCTGGGTGTGGAGACACTTCTTCCCTTTCCTTGCGACTTCGACCTTTGTGACGAAGGATCGTGAACTGAGCAACATCTGATCGGCTGTCATGATCATTCAGATTCATGTTCAGACCTTTGAGGTTGCTTTGCTGCAGAACAGTTTGCAGGTACCGCAAGTCTTCAACCACCGAACCGTCTGTTCAACCACCGGACTCGGTACGCCTCCACAGAGAAAAAAAGCGCCGCACAGCACAGCGTGGAGAGTTCCTTACAGTTAGGCCTATCTTTGGTGTCGATTTTGGTGGCTGAGAGGGAAATGGGCGACGTCCAAACGTGTGCAACAGTATGGTGTTCCTAGCGTCCTAAGGTTGTTGCTATGCAGTGCTCTGACAGTTTCAGGTGGTGCAAAAGTTCTTCCAACCCAAAAAGATTTCACTCGCGACAACCAATCATTACCATGGCCTCGATCATAATGGCTGCAAGGATACTGCACAGTGCCAAGAGGAGGTTTTGAAAGATCTTGAAGATTGAATCAGTTGAAACTCCTTCAAGTACGTACTATACACCCATGGCGAAACTTTGGAGTCTCTTGTTTCACAGATTATTGAAGAGCAGTAAACTCAGGACGATGATTGCACAGGGAGAGCACGGGGATAGATCAAAAATTAGGCAAACACCTTTCTTGGAGGGTCAACATTGACAAGATAGTGCAAGCAATTATCTGCAGAAGGGCTAAGAAAGGTAACCTTGCTTTCACTGCGTGCATATTGTATGCTGTCTGATACTGTCTGTCAAAAAGCTCCTATACTCCATCCCTTTCATGAGGCCTCCCATGTATTAGCCACCATGATTGATGCCAGGCCTGAGAAGCTGTTAAAAGAAAAGGGACACTCTGAGATCAATCAATTCGCGATCTCCAGAAATTCCTGGGGAAAAATTGCGGGCAACCTATGGGTGGTATTGAAATAGGTGTATTGATTCAGTATTGATGGGGTATGTGGGTCTTTGGAAGGTCCCCGCGTTAAAATGAGCCCCTATCAAACCGGCAGCAACTAAACCAAAGGACCAAAGCTTTCTTGAGCTCACGTGCCACGGGAATTCTTCTGATCAAACAGCAGGGAAATCAAACGGTAGGGACCCTACAGCAGGTACCTTGAAGTGAACACAGCGTATCTATATGTATCTATATGTATCTATGCCAAAAACGATCAACACATGAACACACCATCACCCTGACGGGTTTGAGGGACTGAAACTTCCAACCTGTCTCTGTGTTTGTCACCCTCCTGTCGAACACGCAGGAGAACCATCCTGCGTGTTAGCGGCCCAGCCCGCATGAGGAGGCATCCCAAAAAAGTTAGCATGGTCAAATGAACCAAATGATCAATTCATTCCGTACACATGGGATCAATCATCCCAGATAGAGTGAGAGTGAACCTGAAATGATTGAAACCACCAACCAACCAAATGATTTCCTGACCAGTTCTGCCAGTATAGCCTGCCCATTCAGCCTTTTGCATATCCGGTCGGACGTGTGAACTGACATCGGTCAGCCCGAAATGACCAAGCTGCGGTCCGGTCCAGTCCAGCAACGGCCACCGATATCTTATTGCTTCTAGCTACTTGCAGTAATGCTCTTGTTACTACTAGCGCTGCCCTTGTTACTCGGAGCTTCTTGCTGCTAATGGCGATGCACTTGTTGCTACTAGCGATGCCCCCGTGACCTGTTTTGGACCTTTAGAGTTAGACCTGTCTTTCTCTTCATTGTGTCTTAATGTTTCTTATATAAATGGCTGCACCTACGCAGTGTGTTGATGCAACACATTTTTTCAGCGTTCGAAGGTCGTCCACGGTGGGGCCCGGTGGGGCACCCAGGGAGTTTTACATGGTTTTACCATACAGTCCCGTAGACATGTGAAGAAGGCAGCTGAACATCAATGGTCGCTCTTCAAACAATGCCGTCATATGTCGTCTGACCTTCTGCTTGTCATAGACTTTGTCCCAAAGCTCAGGCATGGTCATGGACAAGTGGAGAACGTCAAATCGTGGGCAAGTCTTTTGTTCATGGGCGTCAAACAAAGATTGAACTTGGCTCTAGAGATTGGGGTCCCTCCAACTGCCTCTGATATCTGACATCTGATATATTTGCTGTATGAAGAAAAATCTGACATCTGCGCGGTCGCAAACCAACGGTCTTTGCTTTGCCACCTAGGTCAGCGTGGCAGGGGTCTCCCATAGTTTTTCGGCTCATCACCTCATCACCCGAAGCGGACAAAAAACAATTGGTTCCCCTTCCTGGCTACAAGTGCAGCTTCAAAAGACAATATTTATTGGGGAAGTGACGTTGTTCTCCACTGGGGAAAGATTGGACAAACGACAAACACATTAGATCCCACCATTTCCATCCGCGGGTGTCGCTGGAGGCACCGGTCGGCAGAAGCCTCGTGGACCAATTGAGCCGTTTCTGAAAGGGCTTTTCTTCTTCGGCTCGACTCGCGTCTCGGGCGACATGCGGCCGGAACACGACATGCGGCCGCATGGGGGCGAACGCACATTACACAAAACAACCTGTTACAAGAAGCTAGTAGTAACAGGTGCATCGCTAGTAGTAACAAGTGCCTTACTAGTAGTAGCAAGAAGCTAGTAGTAACGTCATAGTCTTCTGGACTGAAAAGGCATTCCTGGACCGGATTGGTCACCCGAAACTCCTGGCGTGTTAGGTCGCATGTACGGCTTAAGCCGCGCTCCACACACCACACAAAAAAAGGTAGGTCTAAAAAGGCTCTGAAAGCGATGAAGGACGATCGCTCTTGCAAGCCTTTGACTGCAATAAGGTGTGATGATCAAAGCAATATTGACTATTGCAATCCGCGGAACCCAAATTACTAAGGTCCGTCCCGAAATAGGGTGATATGTTGGATGCTCCACCCTCCTCTCTGAAACAGGTATTTTTGGGGAAAAAAAGAGTGCCCTCTTAGTATTTGGAAGAAAGGCCAATCTATAAACATGCAGTCATCATTGCAATGCTCCGATCATCCTGGGAATCCAAGTGATCCCCATCCCCTGCGCCGAAAAGGGGATGACATCGGCAAGCGAAGGGGGAAGCCCCCATGGATTCAAAACTGGCCATGTTTAGGAACCCCATGGTTCTGTAGTGATCTGTAGTGGTTTCAGTTGACGCTTGGGACCCCGAACGGATTTGCACCTTTTGTGCCACGTCTTTGACCAAACTATATAATGCTGAACTTGAAAGCAACCCCTTGGTGCCAACTAAATTTTAGCAGAAACGCTGATGAAGGCCAGGTTTGCTTTTTGTTATCAATTTGGAACGATTTGGTTTACTTCATGGGTATCCGTTGGCATGGTTGGCCATGCCTCACTGCATCCAGCGGTTCCGTTCCCTTTCATTTGGTGGTTTTTTCTTCATGCCTCTATTTCCGTCTCTAAAAGTAGATACGGCTAAATTCTAGAGAGCCTGAGAGCCTTCACAAATATTCCCCGGATAAACATGCATTTGAATGGATTCATCATCTCACACCCTTTGAACGTCTTTGATCCATTCCTGAATGTCCTCACCATAGCAGTTGCTGCAATAACTCCCCCTTGCTTCGACAGGACGCGACTCAATCGCTGGCCCGCCGGCAGGCCGCGTCCATGGCAAGGCACTGCATACTGCGATGGACGTGGTGCACCTTCACCCAGTTGATTTTGTCGTTGCTCTGTCTCTCTCTCTCTCTTGTTCGGAAGGGAGGATTTGAGGGAACCTTCCTGGCGCGACTTAGCCAAAAGGAACCAGATCTTTAAACATGAAAGTGCAAAGCGACACAACGACGTCCGTCGAACTTTTCATTTGGTTTTTTGAACGCCAGTTCATCCCAGAGTCCATACGGAATGAATTCAACGACGCGGTTGCCCCTTTGGTGAGTCCTTCGCCCATTGTGGGAGTCCTCTGCATGCAGGGTAGTTGCACTACTGGGGGTTGATGACGCAAAAAATCATATCCGTCAGGGTTTTTGGGTTCCAAATTCCAACCTGGATTTTTCCAAGAATCTGGTGGCTTAATGGTTCATGTTTTGCACAACCAACAAGGGATACACAAACCCAAACGAATTGGTTGGTCACGCAAACCCCACAACATCGAAGCCCCAAAAAATATGAATCCAGTCGTTTTTGGTTCCGGTTCTTGTGGTGGGAGATACGCCTGCACCACCACCATCTCGATGAATCACCAGTTCCCGAAGTAGTCACCAAAAACAATAGGCCGCAGAAAAAAACAAACAGTTGGGCATGAATGAACCTATATAGGCAATTGCAACGTCGCAGGTTCAACACCAAGTGCCACAGAATGCGTTCCGGAACTGGAGCTTGCCAACATGTCAGCACGACAGCATGACCCGACGTCAGCATCTCAGCGCGTCAGCATGTTGGAGTGACCAGCCCCTTTTTGAAGTTTTCTTCGGATTCTAAGGGCTGGCCCGACTAACACCTCCAGAAAAAACTGCTCTGCGGTCTATGAACTTAGACGCCTTGGGATCGTAGTTTTCGCTTGGGTTCCCATTTGGCTGTACAAGTTTGAGAGGCTAGTTGCTTAGCAGGAAACTTTTGCGCATTAATGAGCTAGTTTGTTTCTAGGAAAGAATCTATTTTCAAAATAGCCCTCAAAAAGGATCCAAACCATCACTACTTGGTTTGCCCACAACAGTAGCAACTGTCGCGCTGCAGTGACTGGCCAAACTTTCCGGCTCACGTGACTGAAGGTTTCAGTTTGGCTATTGCTAGGTTGCCCTGTCCCTGTTGCCAATGCGCTCTTTTGAGCGCCATGCACTCACTGTATAGCCGATCATCTCTTGTCTGGCCAGAAAACCGTGAGCATCAGACAGTGAAGGAGCAGCGACGACACAGCATCTGCGCAAATATCCTGAAGCCCTGATGAGGGACGTTAAGCCCTGGAGCGCCATGAGCCAATAATAAACGGTGCAATTTCCGACAATAAACGGTGCACAGCTCACAGCTCATTCAAAGAATTATGATGTCCACATGTCTCACGGCAAGTAGTCTTTGTATGTCTTTCAAAGGAGTCCAGTAGTGGCAACCCTGTTTCTTGCCAGCATGCCTTTCCAGGCAAAAAAACAACTCCAATGTAATCTTGATCACCCTGAATTCCCTTCATGGTAGCCCGAAAGCCACCGGCAAGCAACCACCGGCAAGCAATTTGTCAGCCAAGGCATATCACCCTGCCTTCCAACACACCACTGCTTGTCTGTTCCAGCTGATCTGACAGCAAGGCAACCGTGGTTAAGAATTAGCTCTACCCACGCTGCAAGTCCAAGAGGCTAGTGTGTAAATCCAATAGGTTAGTTATAGATGATGGGCGAAGGCAGCAACTCTTGCCTCTGCCCAGAGGTTGCGCGCCTGGGGTGGACTGGCTCCTTCGAAGCTGTGGGCGATTGATGGACCCAGCATGCATCCAACTTTTCATCACGCGGGGCATGAGTGGGGTATATTTCCCCTCAGAAGAGCACGCCACAAATGCACCTGCAACATCAATGGACTAACACTTGCAAAATGATTGCGTAGCCCTATATCAGTGCTCGTTTTTGGCAGACCCCTTGCGCAAACATTGTTTCCATGGCAGCTATACATCAGCACTCGGTTCTTCAGCGTAGAAAATGATGGCGTTAATGGGAACGGTAGCGTGAGGACCTGGAGCTTTTGCTTTTCTGCAAATGCGGGTCAGCAAGCGCACTCAGTACATACGCATGCACATGTATGCTTGGTCCAACCTATGGGCAAGACTGGGACCCGGCTGCATCACCAAAAGTCTGGCAAGGAATAACTTTTCTGTTGTGAAAGGTTTCGTTGCAGGAAGGGGTGCGATTAGAAGCTGTTCAAAGCCTCAGGACTCACGACAACTGAATCTTTGAAGATCTTTTAGGGAGAAAATTAGCGTGCATCATTTTGCACCATATAGCTGCACGACTGTATCGCCAACCATCATGGACAACAGTTCGTGATCGTACATGCTTTCAAGAATTTCATGGGGCAATCTGTTGATCTGATACCGGGCATCGTTGTTGGACACGATCACGGGAGCTTCCCTGAAGCGATCCAATTGGAGCCGTTCATCATTGGGGTCGGTGATGACCCTTTTGCGTGACTCTTTCTCTTCGTCGGAGAGGGTGCAGCCTTCAACGGGCTATGTCCACCAGCTCCCAAAGGCGGGATGCATCAGGGTTTGCCTGAGCTGCAGGCACAACAAGGCCCGGACGAGAGCACTTTCAGAGGGAAGCTTCTGTATGAGAGCAACAATATATGGAACAATGAATTGAGCTGAACTTTGCCATGGCTCAGTTATCCATGGGTGGGTTGGTGCTCCTGTACATATTACGGCTTGACTTTGCATCAAGCATGCAGCCAAACTTGATGATGGAAGAGGCCTGGGTTGGCCAGGCAAGCCTGCAGGAGCCTTTGACTGGCTGGTCTGGTGACTGCATTCTGCGTCGAAGAGCTTCTCTGGAAGCTCTTCATGATGTTGCGTCACCTGCAACGTGAGACTTGGCGTGAGTGTCAACACTATAAGGTTTGAGACATGGCCTCAATCCGATACCTTTGCGCTTCAGTCTAAAGCTTGGCCTGATGGAAATGACAATGGTTCTCTTTATATACTTCGGAACAATACATTTGGAGTTTGACGAGTTCAAACTTTCACTGAGTCCACTACCCCGTGGACCCGACCACTCTCATTCAGCAGCACCGGAGAGAGATCCAAGCTGATTGTGCCGGGCCCTTTCCTCACACCACCGGAATGCTCAGCGTACGGGAAATATAAAGGCTGGCGGCTGGATCAAAGTGAAGCCCTGTAACAGTGCATGAGAAGTCTTGAAGACAGCGCGCAGCACCATAGCCTTTTCCTGGCTCTGCGAAGAATTCAACAACTGGCCACTCCTGACGAGTATAAAATATGGCAGTAGAAGCCTGGATGTGCACACTTTTGCATGGCCATTCCTTCTGAGTGAGCGCCGTATATATGAGGATAAAGGTCATGTGGCTCCATAGTCCCCAAGCGGCACAATTATCAAATTCAGGCTCTTTCTTCCCCCCCACTCTCTTGCTACAAGTCTGTCTCAGAACTTGCTCCGCAACGTGCTCCGGAACCTGCTCCGGGACCTGCTCCAGGACCTGCTGCTCCGCAACCTGCTCTGCCCCTGAACCTGCTCCATAACCTGCTCCGGGATCTACTCCAATCTGCTCTGAGGTCTTTACAATAAATGGCTCAAGACCCCTACGTAGGCTTCACTGCTCAGAAAATCGGGTTGATTTTTGCGTGATCCCAGTGAGAACGAACTGATCAGTTTGAGAAGCATAATTGTTGTATAACAAGAAGTTCCAAATTACAGCTTCTACTTCGAGAGCACTCCACAAATAGTTCGAGTGTTTCCAAGAGCTTTGAACGATTCCGGGACTCGTTCACACAATGAACTCGTGGCTGGCAAGCAAACCCGTCATCTTCCAAGTGGGTCGTGTGAACAACTTATTTCATGACACCACAAAACATGGTAAATGGGATATTCCGTGAACATGTCCTGGAACAAACTGTAGTGTTGGTGCATTACGGCACCAGTGCTTCTTTGGAAAACCATGATTACGAACATCCTGTCGGCAGTCGGAAAATGCATGGACAAATGCTGGTCGGCAGTTGCAAAACAACGGGGAAGAGGTCGGGGACTTGAAGCAATTTGAAGCATCGTGACGTGGAGTTGTACCATGGAAGCTCGACATTTGAGCAGGTCTGGATGGTGCTCTCGCGGGACCCTGACGGGGCTCCGTCGTGCTGCACCAACACTTTGAGCTACGTCTAAGAATATGAGTGGTCCTGATCCTTCAAAATGACCTCGCCGATATTCCGAGACCATGAGAAGATGAGGGAGCCTGGTTGCTTCTGCAACGCATTGCAACGCTCACACTGTACCTCACTTGAAATAATTGTGTGTGGCACGGCATAAATCATGAAGTGAAATGGAATCCCTGGTGTCCTGGAAGTGTCCTGTGACTTCTCCAATGGAAACACTCGTCTCACCGCGCTGCCTCTTCGTTTGAGGCGCTTTTCGGCCGGTTCTTTTCGGACGGCCCGCCACACGGCGGAACGGACGGATGAGATCAGCGAAAACGCGGTCCAAATTCATTCAGACCCACGTCTGAGGTAGTGTTGAAATGGGAAAAGACTCCCAATCACTCCCATAAAGTAATTACCATCAAATGGACCAACAGGTTGAAGGCTACTTTCCTGTAGCAAATAGAGGGGATCAAATGGGTTTTGCGCTTCCAGGCTAGAGTAAACCTTTAAATTTGAAATATATGGTGCAAGAGAGGCGTACGGAGATGAGATGAGAGCATCGAGCAGTGGTAATTTGTTGAAGACCAAAAAGAGAGATCCACGTCTCACACCTCGCTTGCAGATTCTGGATCATCTGTGGACTGTCCATGATGCACCGACAAATGTTGCAGACCTTCTGGTGGTCCTCTGGGTATTGCGGACGCATCCCGAGCTGCACCGCACTGTCTGTGAGGCAGCGCCCAATCATTATACTACAGTCTTCTGGAGGATTCGACGCTTGAAAAGGGTGCGACCCTTGCAAGGGTCCAACGGAACATGTTTACAGTCCAAACCCAGTTGCTAGAATCTCTACTTTGGCAAAGCATGGAGTCTAGATCGAGGGTGGAACTACAGCATGATGTTTGTTTTTTCCTGTCCGCTTTGTGCAGCTGCAGTGCTGATCTGTCCAATTCCGCGCATCCGAAAGAAACTGATGCTAAAAACCAAGAAAGATCATTCTTTATCAGGCTCAGGAACAATGTGAACAGATTGCTTGGCATTCTCCTGCAAACGCGGATTCTTCCTGACCTTTTTTTTTTTCGTGTGTCTCACACACAGATTATTGGGATGATCTATCATCTATACGCCCTACCAGCGACAAATTCCTGTGAAAGTAGGAAAGACTGGGGAAAGACAAATAATAGGGACGGCCCCACATATCTGCAACAATTCCAGTGGCTGCATGAAAACGTTAGCTTTTGAACCATCAGGACTTGCTAAACAATCAGGGCATGCAGTGAAGTGCGCTTTTAGTGACCATGACAAGGTAGTCCTCTTTCAGCACTTGCTACAGTATAACGAGTTTTCCTCCTTTTGTTTCGGTCTAGCGAATACCATGACAGAACTGGTCCAACTCAAATCCACCAAGGTTCCATGTTGTGAAGAGTGCTCCAAACTCAAGTCCAAACCTCTGCAAATTCCACAATCCACGTCCTTTCGATCCCCCCAAAAAGGAGACTGAACCAAAGAATCAGGCAGCGGCTGCACGGCTACCCACCATGTGGTGCCCAACGACGGGTATGAGAGCATGTGGCACTTGTTTTCTTCCAGTCTGGTTCCTGGGACTCGTGAGGCGAGAAGCTCCGCCCTCCCGCCTCATCGCCCTGGTGCTGATACTTTCCGAGAGGGGAGGCATTCAGCTGGTTGGCCTGGCGATTAAGGCTTAGCATCTCCTCTCGGCCAAGGACCAGGGGTCTCACACTATTTACTGAGAAAGCCTCCAGGACTCTTTCGCATATCTTGAAGCGGTATTGTGACCCCTTCAATCTGATATACTGGAAGGACAACTGAATAATATGTGTGTAACTGCAGCTCCCCCGTCTACTCACCTTTCGTACAAAGCGAGATGGCACATGATAGTGTCACATATATGTGTATATATAGAGATATAGATATATTATATCACTATACTAGCAAGTAAAGAGATTCCAATAGGTGAACCAAAGGAGTGTGACACATACAACATGAAGAGACATTCCGGCGGTTCTTCCTCATTTGGATTCGTTTGGGCTCCTTTTCCTTGTCTTCCACGAGTACTTTCCGTCTCTTCCGCCGAGAGTGAGGTATGTTTGACCATGTTTGACCTGTGAGGTATGTGAGCAAACATGGGAGGCCACACACCGGAGCAACGCCGGAGGTACGGTCTCTTCATGTTTGAGGATTTGAGGACTGAAGATTTGAAGAGTTCAGAGGTTCTTCTCCAAGCTTTAGGTTGAACTACACACAGGTCAATTATTGTTGAACTTCAAAGCCACAGACCTTGCAAGGCTTTGCAGGTGTGTGGCCCACACGTGGCCTCCCAAATGCTCTGTACGTACAGGAACCTGCGGCCTTCCAAAATGGTCCAAATGTAGCCTGAACATCAGCAAAAATACTGTATATAAATACCATTTCACACGAAGGGTGGGTACATACACACATCCTTGAAACGTGTTTTCATTTTTTCTATTGATAAAACGTGGACGGTTTGCATCAGTTCGAACAAACCGAGGACCCAATGGCTCCGAAGTGGCCGGGCAGATCGCTCGTTTTGGCCCAAGCAGTTGGAAAACCAACCATGTGCTGTGCACTCATGTTTTTTTTTCCCGGGCAGCCACGGCACCATCAAAAAGAAAAAAACAACAATCCTTTGACATGTCGACCCTTTCGCCCGGTGCTGGAAAACACTTCCAGACAAGCCATGGACAGATCCATCTGTCTTTCACCATCCAAAACATCCGCCTTCGGAGCCTCTAGATCTCGATTGGACGGCCATGCCTGGCGGAGCTGAGCGACTCACGACGCGTCGTGTGGGTTCCGAGCGAAGAAGACGACCGGCTGGCGAGCTGGCTGCGACAGCTGCTGCTTTCACAGCCAAACGGATGGTGTGGAGTCCTACCAAACTTCTGGCGACCACAGGGCGACCAACATATCTAAGATATGAAAGGTACAACATTATCTAAGATATTAAGATATTACAGGTCATTTAAAATGAATTTATAATGTAAAATTTCCTTTACGCTCCCGGAGACTAACATGGACCCTGACGTCCTGGGCCCCTGGGTCCGATGGTTTTCCTCTACCGACCAGTGGTTTTCAGGGTCCATGTTAGTCTTCAAGGGGGTATTGCATAAGTTCATCCTTCAAATGGTGCAGTTGTATGTCTGAGGCCATTAGAGAAGCTTAACTCCACCAGCTGTCTCTTCTCTTCACAACCTCAACGACCTGGTTCTTACGGACAGGGTCCTTCACTAGCACTGGATGACTGACCATTGGCAAGCTCGCACGATATCCACAGCATTCCAAACAGGACCTGGCACAGTACGCCTAGGAACTATCTAGCCGCAGAATCAGCCAGGTCAAACATATTCAAGAAAATATGGAATCCACGTGTTGATTCTTGTCTTTCAGCACTTTCTCTCTGGCTTTTGGAAGTTTGGGGATGCCCATTCATCACAGCATCCTGCAGTGCACAGTGCAAACCAACCCTCAAAGAAGCATGTGCCGAAGCGCCTGCACGCTATGCTTGGGCCTTAGACGCGGTTGTTCAAAATGGCTGAAGTGACACGTGATGACACGTGAATTCCAAGGTGGTTCCATGTTTCCTTTCAGCACAGAGGCCCTGGGGAGATCCATTCTAATACACACAAATAACATGGATTCCGCGTAAATATGTGTATTGAGTCGGCTGATTTCAAGACCGTTGATGTTACTTTACGCTTTTCTGTTCCAAGTGACTTTGAAACTCGAAGCATCAATGCACCCGCCACACAAGGATAGGGACTTCAAAAATGGCTACCTTTCGTGTCCAGGTCATCTGGGCCTTCAACATCTAGTGAAGTCTTGTTGTTGGACGTCTTGTCTGTGTCTGGAGGCAAACTTGGAGCTAAGGGTACTAAGGGTTGATCATGCTACAAACTACTTAGATGCCATTACCAGTTACAGTGGATGATGACGATGATGATGATGGTAAATGCCATTCCCAAACGTAGTGATAATTGTTTGCCGATTGTTGCTGGTAATGGGACAAACCCTGTTCACACCCACATGTGTTGCGGATCTGTGGATTTTGTGCCGCTGACAGCCTCTGCTGTTTCAGATCCTAATGGAACCACAGATGAACAATAAACACACATAGCTAAAATGTGTAATTATACATATATATATATATTATATACACGTCACAGCAGGAGGAGAGGACATACAACATGTACAGTCTTACACAGCCCAGAAATCATATATATATATATAGTAAATACATTAGACGTATGAATCTTGTGATCTGTTCATCCGCACCTCAACACGCCTAGTATGGTTCAGGGTAGACGAGGTACGGGGCTAGATATATATTTGTACAGAACATGTGAATGCAGTGGACTGGGCAAACGCAAAGTGAAGTTGGAAGTTGGTGAAAGTGCTTTTGGACCACAAGCAGCATGACTAAGTTCACAAGTTGAACACTTCTTCACAAACAGAGCTGACCTTAGACTTCGAGTGTGTCCTCCTCAGCGGACTTGTTCCACGTGAAAGGTGCAAATCATGCTAAGTTCAAGCCCAGCGTCTGGTAGTTGTAGAAGATCACCCTCCAAATCGGATCCTTGCTAGGTGCCTCGGTATAACAAGACGAACAGCTGGCTTCACTAAGCAGCCAAAGCCGACCCCAAAAGTCTGCGTGATCGAGTGGATTCACTTGTTAAAACTGCTTCTACATGTCCAACTGGTGCTTTCCCCTTTTTTCCTCTTCAGGACCGCAGCAGACCACTTGGCTTCGGTTTCTGAAACCAAAAAACTGATTCTCTAAGCAGGGCCTTCCCTTCCAAAGCACCGATCTCGGCACTGAGAGAACCCCGCCGTCACCGCTGGGATCGAGCTAGATGACCAGCCATCTGAGAGGAGATCCATTGACCAAAGAGCTCAAATATGCTCAAATGGCTTGATATCTCAGAAGGTTGTTGAATCCCCAAACATCTGAGCGCGTAAAGACGCGAGCTGCTTGGCTCTTAAGGCACGAGCTCTTCAGAACTGGCAGAAGTCTCTAGACTAGACTCACTACTAGACTCTAGAAGGTGCGCCTTGGGGGTGGGTACTGCTTCGGGGTCTGTCCCGAGCTTCGGATCTGGCGCTTCAGCCCGAAGTCGTATTTTTGGATGACTCTCCCGAAGCTTCCAATGAACGTGGAGAAAAAACCGTTCGTAGGGGAAACCCGTCGTTCGCCAACCGATTCTTGGAGGGCACGGGCTTTGCGGTGTCCAGTGTAACAGTTCTGCAAATGTGCAAGCCTGATGAACTTGTTCAATCTTGTTAAACCTGTTGATTCAATTGTTCAATTACAGTACTTTATTATCTTCATGAAGATAGTGAAATATTATGAAATATTTGAGTCAACAGGTTTAACACTGATGAAACATGATTCATTCGATGATTATGTTTGTAGATGTTCCTGTCAGGAGAGGACCTATTATTGAAATATGCGTACCCCAGGTGTAATTTGCTGTTTGTGGCACCCCGCTGGCTTCCTGACCCTGTGTAAGACTTCCCGTCTCGAACCTTTGCAAACAAAGATCCAAGTTTACAACGGCATACAATGACAGGGAAGATTGCAAAATCACACTATTGGAGCATAGGAACCGAGTCACAACATGTCACCACTCTTGAGAAGCAGGGCTGTCATGCTTGCAATACGCTTGCATGATGGACATGGGTGGGCATGTCCAAGCTGATGGTTTCATGGATTTTTTAATGGATCTTCATCCTTCAAGAATCCTTGTCCTTTCGTTCATCACTAGAACCTCGCCCGAAACAAACAGTTTACCCCTGTCAAGAGGGTTTGCAAGACTACACTTCCTGAAATCATCATGGTTTCGAGGAAAACCACCTGGTTGATCCTGATGGTAGAGGATGGCATGGTCATGACCTGGCTGCCATCCACTTCCATGATGGTGTTCAAGTAGTGTATCTTCCTCTAAGACTCTACCGCGTGAGGGCGACAAACGAGCTGTAGACTCTACCCAAGGCACATAGGTCTGGCCGCTCTTCCATGCGACAAGCAAGAACATCGGCAGGACACACCTTGGAACCCAGGTGGTCCTTCCACTTAGAGGTGACATCTTGATGTAAATGAAACCACTATCATCTAATCCCCGCATTCATCTTGGAAAACCTTGTCTAGTTGAGTGCCGTTCAAGGAGACCGATCAAGGAGGCCGATCAGTTCCCGACTGGTCGTCGTTCAAAACGCTGCGGGAAGGACTCCCGACTGCCCAAATGATCCCAAATTTAAAGAAGTGTACTGTAAGCATATCTTTGACATGGCGATCCTAGCAGAAAGAACAACCCAAGGTACTCAGTGTTGGGTGGTGCGTAGGGTGGTTCTTGAAGGCAGCATTGGTGCCAAGGAGGTCCTTTTAAGAAGGCATTGAGGGGTGACAGCCTGAACATAAAACTGTTGACCGCCCAGTTCACTTTTGGGATTGATTAAAGTAAGATACAAGTTAATTAAAAAAAATCATCTCACAGGGCCGCCACGATTTTGGACATCTCACAGTGTTCAGTGAACAACTGATTGACTTATTATATAACAACTAGTAACTAGTCGTCATATCTGTCTTCCAAAACCCCCAATGCTCTTCTTCAAGTCACCAAGTCGTCACACCACCCCACCGAAAAGAGAGGCAAGTGCCTCGCCCTCTCGGGTCCCGACACCTGCAGAAAGGCATAGAACAAAGGGACTCCCGCCGCCCGCGAGGCATCTTTCTTGTCGAAGGCGGATAAAGCGATGGCCATGGCAAGCCCGGTGTTCCTGCGGTCGTGCGAAGGTAGGGGACCGACACGACCAATCGAGGGACCGGTGGTGTCACGGGAGTATGTGGTGAAGCTGAAAGTTGACTCAGTTGACTAGAAGATCTGAACTTGGATGAATTTGGAAAGTGCTTGAAAAGGGGAGTTGATGTCTTCAGGGGCGAGGTGGCGCCCCCCTTGAGTTCATCAGACATGTTGGAGGTGACGCTGAGCGGAGAAAATCCCATCATACTCCGAAAACCATTCCCCACTTGTAGAGACAGGCCTCAATCTGTTCAAAGACTGGCTTATAAACACATATATATATGTATATCTATTATACAATTATGTAATAATTACATATACAGTGATCAAGAGCTAGAGGTCACTCAGGTTCTAGGGGTCACTCAGGTTCTGGTATAAAATCTAACCTCGCCAGAACAGATTGATCATGATGGACGGCAGCTCCAGGTACGGACTCCTGCTCCACTGTTTTAGCTCGGGTGCAACCAACCAAACGCAAAAAAAACGATGTGTGCCATCCGCCATGCGGCTGATAGCAAACTTCCACGGCAATTGCCACTGCCTGGACGGTGGAATTCTCTCGGCCACACAACTGGCGGCCAAACGTGGCCAAACGAGTGATCGGTGCCAAAAGGGGCCAATTGGCATCCCAGAAATTGTGGGCACCCGACTCCTCTTCCTTCTTGTTGGATTCATTTTCGAATAAACAATCATGGTGACATGATCACTTCGCGATTCGACATGATTCAATTACTTCAGGGTGGTTGATTTCTGGAATCGACTCGCAAAGCTCCACAGGACCGACAGGAGCTGGAGAAACCTCCGGCACAAGGCTGTTCCGAAGTTCTATCAACAGGGAATCGCTTTCTGTGCATCCTGTTTTTGAGTTTGCCAAGCTCGAAGCATTGACTCTCCCAAGCGAATCTCACAGGGTGTTGCTGTGGTGATCTGTGTTTGCAGCACCAGTATACCCATCCACCTAGCCATCCACTGCTAAATACCCTTCCCACCTCGGTCCAACACCGACTCGTTGACAATCCGACCGGTTTGACCAGGCGCCGGTGACCCACGCGCCCGCCCGGCCTCTGGTGCCGACACGCGGCAGCTGACCTGATCTAGGATCGCTGTAGATAATCCTCTTCCGTTGATAGAAGATTCTAGATTGACTCCCTTTTGTGAAATTATTTGAAAATGGTTCTGTTTCTATCAGAATTACCAAGTCCACCAGGAAAGTGACCACCTTTGCGGACCATGCTCTCCAAGCTCCGAGTGGCTGGATTGACCATGTGAAAGGTGACTAGATTGACCGTGCTCAGTTAGCAGTCCCCCAAAAATCGCCATCCACGGCCGAGCTAAGCTCATGTACAGCATGTACAGTGATGGGACTTCATGTTAGGAGTCCGCTAGTTTCCTGAATGTTCATTGCCCACAACATGGACCGAGAGCTTCTCCCCACTCTTTCCACATCCTCCAAGAAGCCTTGGCTAGTCCAAGGGCTACGAGGACGCTGCACACGCATGGCAAACCCACGCCCACATAGAAAATCAAATCTTTGTCCTGAGACTCTTGGAGCAAAAGGACAGCCCTATCGACGGAGGTCCTCAGTCCTCAATTCAAGTGTCTAAAATTATCCCGGCAAGAGACCCCAAACAGTGTGTGAAGTCTATAAGCAGAAAGCTTAGAGATCTTGACGCATTGGGGTCCAGAGAGGTAATGGTGGTGATCAAATTGGGGATCGTGGTGACGGTGGCGGTGGTGGGCGAGTGAGTGAGTGAGTGAGTGAGTGAGTGAGTGAGTGAGTGAGTGAG